TGTGTGTGTGTGTGTGTGTGTGTGTGTGTGTGTGTGTGTGTGTACACGTGCAACAACATCGCGTTGCGTGAATTTCGTTAATAGAGACACGCCGGATCGTACTAGGAAGGAGCCGAATAACTTTTAATACAAGTACTATCAGCCGGTACGCGATACGTTTCGAGCGTGCGCACATACGTAGGTACTTCTGTATGTTACCACCTTAAGGTTATTTATTTAGATGTTTTTTTTCTATCTTATTTATCATTAGTACTATTACTACCATGGTGCCCTGGCTGTCAGTAAACTACGTAATGAATAGCTATATTTATATAGCTAAATAAATTAAATATATGTATATTGCTATATTTGAAATAAAACTATACTCGTCGACCGAGATTGTGTTACGCACCATACACTGCGTACTTCGTTTCCCTTCGTGTGTAATACATTTTTCATAATCCAATCGCTAGTGCTGGATACTCGGATACCAACTTCTTAGATGATGTTGCGATTCAGTTTGACAACAAATGCAAGTTAATCAATCGTTACTCGATCGAGTCGAAAGTAAACAGTTTCTGATTCTAAATTCACTGAGACGTAATAGATTTGTATGTATGTATATATATATATGTATATATATATATATAAAACAAGAGAGAAAAGGATGACCGTGAAAACCTAGGACATTTGGAATTCCCTGTATAATCGTTTCTATTTCAATCAATGTAAAATTATTATAAAAGATATATGTACATCAACCATTAAATTACATCGATTATTTCTTGAGTAGCGTTTTCTGTTTCTTGTTTCGTTATTAAACTATGATTTACCCAGCGCCGCAAATGTTCTCGCCTTTTGTAGTTTTTGGGTTGGGTTGCGCGTGTGTACATGTGTTAGGAACCTTAATAAGGCAACGAAGGAGCCCTGAATTTTACGAATGTATCCGTTATTTCCCGTGTTCACACTCATTTAAGGTGTCTTTTAATGCTTTACGCAATTTCCATAATGTTCAGGCTCGAACAAAACCGTTTGTTAATTATAAATTGTCCTCTAAGAAAGAGACCCGGTACCTTGTATGATTCTCCTTCTACATACCTTTTTTTTTATTTTCTACATGTCGCAATTCTTCTTACTCAATTAATTAATTAACTGCAATACATTTTATTTAATAATACATCGTACAAAAAAAAAAAAAGAAAAAAAAACTACAAAGCAATTACGCAGAAGCTTGTGCCACGATACCTACGCATTGTAATTGGTTTGTTCCAAATTACAGCGTAAATTTTATTGCGAAAGTATATGATTACATGTAGATAAAAAAAATTAAAAAGTGTTCGTCGTACAAATTTCGAATATTCGTATAAGATATTACGATTAATATAAAAGCTAAAACAAACAAAACCTGTTTGCGGCTAAACACAATGATTGGCCCTATCGAATATTTCATCAATTACTTTTCGTGCAATTCCTAGACAACATTCCAGACAAAAGCTCTCAAAAAATATATAAATATAAAATACCTTTCTTTTTATACCAACAAATGTTTAAATTTTTCTTTTTTTAATGAAACGTAAGCACAATCGAACAGAGTATAACATTCGTAAAGTTCAGTAATCGTTAACAGACAAAACAGCGATTTGTATATAAAACTTTTAAACAATATTATATCACAGTACTAGCTATAAATACAACGTTTAAAAGAGAGCTGAAAACGAGAGCTAAACCAGTGCTTCGTTGGAAAGAGAAAGTACATCGAAATACACAAAAATTATATATTGTGCGAG